TCATCTAAAATAAATTCATGTCAATGTCCCCATTAAGGGACTTCCCTGGTGGTCCAGTGGTAAAGAATCCACCTTCCAATGCAGGGGATGTGGTTTCAATCCCTGCTTGAGGAACTAAGATCCCTTATGCCATGGGGCAACTAAGCCCGTGTGCCACAACTACTGAGCCCCTGCCCGCCTCAACTAGAGAGCCACGTGCCCCAAACTACAGAGCCCACATGCTCTGGAGCCTGCTGCGCCACAACTAAAGAGAGGGAAAAAAAAACCCCGCACACCACAACTACAGAGAAGCCCACGCACCGCAACAAAAAGATCCTGCATGTCGCCACTAAGACCCAACTCAGCCAAAAAAAAAAAAAGTCCCTATTAAAATAAAAGGTAATATATCCACTAAACAAGAGCAGAACGCTAGACTCACAGATATAGAGAACAAACTAGTGGTTACCAGTGGGGAGATGGAAGGGGAGAGGGGCAATATAGGAGTAGGGGAGTAAGAAATACAAGCTATTAGGTATAAAATAAGCTACAAGGATATATTGTACAACCTGGAGAATATAGCCAATGTTTTATAATAACTATAAATGGAGTATAACCTTTAAAAATTGTGAGTCACTATATTGTACACCTGTAACTTACATAATATTGTACAGTAGCTATACTTCAATAAAACTAAATCAATAAAGGAGTCCTAAGACAAAAATAAAATTTAAAAAAAGAACAGAATGCTGGTTTTTTTTTTAAAAAAAAGAAACATCCAGAGAATGAAGAAAATAGTTCTTGGAAATTAATAATGAGAGAGTGGTAATTAAAAACATAATAAGAGATTGGAAGGTAAAGTTGAACAATTATTTCAAAATCTAGAGCAAAAAGACCAAGAGATGAAAAAAAAGAAAAGATAAGAGAGAACTGTCTAGGAAGTTCAATATCCAAAAAATCAAGAGTCCTCAGAAAGAACGGAGAAAAGAATAGGTAGGAAATCATCAAATAATTCAAAAGATCTTTCCGGATTTAAGGTCCACTGAATGTCCAGCACAATGAATAGAAATAAATGGATACCAAGACACATCAATGTGAAATTTCTAAGAGGATATCCAAAAGCCTCCAGGGAGTAAAAACAGGACTTATATAAAGGGTCAGGATTCATAGCAGCATGGGACTTCTCAGGAACAACACTGAAATTTAAAAGATAGTAGAACCACACTTTCACAATTCTGTAGAAAAATTACCAGAATTCTATAATCTGCCAAAGTATCAATCAAGTATGAGAGTAAAATACTGATATTTTCAAACATGCAAGGTCTCAAATACTTTACCTCTCTTGTACCTTTTCTCACGTAAGAATAAACCAAGAAAGAGGAAGATATGGGATCCAGGAGAGAAGTGAAAGCAATCCCTATGGTAGAGGGCCCAAGATAACTGTACAGAGGGAGTAAAAAGCAACCTGTTCAGATTGGAATAGGTCAGAAGGTTCTAGGAGAAATTTCTTATAAGAAGATGAAAATGGCAGGATATCAGATATGTTTGAACATATTGCAAGGAGAATACATACTTGGGCGGGAGGTTAATGTTAAAATCATCATCAGTGCCAAGAAAAAAGCAAACAAGCAAGCCAAGTAATAGTCACTAAACCCACAGAAAACAACATATTAAATATCTAAAGCATGAGTTAGACTTGAAAATGGTTGCCTCTGAGATCAGAAAATGGGAGTGGGAGTGCTTGTTCAAAAGCTGCTGCTTTTTCATAAGCTTTGAAGAGCTATTTGACTATTTAAGGTAGTTGTATCTGTAAGTTTGATAAAACTAAAAAATAAGTTAAAAAAAAAAAGAGTAACATCCCAGGTTCTTACACTGGTCTCTTCAAAACCTGCCTTCCTCCTCCCTGCCCCCCCACATTCACTGTGGACTTGCCACCTTGGACTCTGTTGTACTTAGATACTCCAGACCTTCGTGTTTGCTTTGCACCTGCCTGTGACATTCTTCTCCCACATACATATATGGTTTGTTCATACACTTCCTTTAGATCTCTGCTCAAATGCTCCCCTCAGTAAATTCTTGCCCTCTCTTACCCCTCAGTGTACTTTACTTTCATTATGGCACTTGATATCGTCTGGCATTTTATGCTTTTCATTACTAAGCTTTGTCTTGTCTTTGCTTCTGTAGCACTACCACTGCAAACAGGTTTGAATATAGTAAGGGTTCAAAAATATTTATTAGATGAATAAATAGGACAAATATACACAAATTTAAAAACAAATTCACTGAAGCAGAAATACAAGGGGTAACACACAATTATTCAATCTCAAAAAATATCAGGGGGGCTTCCCTGGTGGCTCAGTGGTTGAGAGTCCGCCTGCAGATGAAGGGCACACGGGTTCGTGCCCCGGTCTGGGAAGATCCCGCATGCCGCAGAGCGGCTGTGCCCGTGAGCCATGGCCACTGAGCCTGCGCGTCCGGAGCCTGTGCTCCGCAATGGGAGAGGCCACAACAGTGAGAGGCCCGCGTACCACAGGAAAAAAAAAAAAAAAAAAAAAAAGGAAATGCAGATGAAAACAATGGGATAATTTTTGCCCAGATTAGGAAGAAATAAAAATACCCATAATAGTATCACTGTCAGGGGTAGAAAAATAAATTGGTAGTCTTGGAAAGCAATTCAATATGCAGATATTCACATGGGGGCACAAACAGGCATGTGCAAGGATACTGCTGCAGCAGTATTTCATAGTGAAAAATTAGAAACAACCTAAATGCCCATAAATGGAGATATTGTTAAATTACAAGACACATATATTTTAATAATAGGCAGCAAGTAAAAAAAAATGAGTGACAGTTATATGTTCTATACTGTGGTTTCATTTGTGTTTCACAAAAAAAGACTAAATTTGTAGATTTATGGTTTTATATGAAGATATGTAGAGAATGATCTAATAGCATACATCCCAAACTTTCATTTTCCTGATTTCTAGTTGTTCATTTATTCATTTAATATCTGTTTCTGGAGCTATAAGTAGGAGTTGTCCCTACACACTAGGAATAGAGGAGTAAACAAAATAGGAAAAGTGCCTGCCCTTACAGAGTGGATGTCCTAGCAGGAAGAAACAGACCATGAACAATAAACAAGCAAATACATTATAGGTCAGGTGATGAAAAGTACTGTGAAGAAAAGTAAAACAGGGTAAGAGAGAGAAGAAGAACACAGTGAGATAAGAGGACACTTGCTATGTTTAGCTCTGCTGTCAGTGGAGCTTCTGCAGTAATGGACAAGCCTTGTGAATTTGCACTGTCTGATACAGTAAACCACTAGCCTCATGTAGCTGTTGGAACTCTTAATCTGTGCTAGTGCAACTGAGGAATGGAATTTAAGTTTCATTTCATTCCAGTTAATTTAAGTTTAAGTTGCCATATGTGGTTGATTGCTACCATATTAGCCAGTGCATTTATATGGGATGGTCAGGGAACTCCCCTACATAAAGCAAGATTTGAGCTGAGACCTATACAAGATGAAGGAGCTAACCATGTGTTCCAGGCAGAATGAACAACAGGACCTTATCTGGAGTAGTCAGGCTGGAAAGGCCAGAGCAGATTGGGCAAGGTAAGAGTGGGAAGAGATGAAGCCAGAGAAACAGAGGGGGCCCCACCATGGAAGGCCTTGGCAACTAATATAAGACTTGGCTTGGGGCTTCCCTGGTGGCGCAGTGCTTGAGAGTCCGCCTGCCGATGCAGGAGACGCGGGTTCGTGCCCCGTTTCGGGAAGATCCCACATGCCGCGGAGCGGCTGGGCCCGTGAGCCATGGCCACTGAGCCTGCGCGTCCGGAGCCTGTGCTCCGCAAATGGGAGAGGCCACAACAGTGAGAGGCCCGCATAACGCAAGAAAA